TGGGGTGACAACCTCTCGAATATGATCCAACAGTTCATTGTAAACTGTCGTCATCAACATGTACATCGCCTTTTATACCTTAATGTGCCACTGAGACAGCACCTCTTCGTTCTCTCTTGTAGGTGTGATAATCTCGCTTCTACCACCAACCTCTTGCGAGTATGATTCAGGTAGGAATGCCAGTTATTGTAGTTGTGGTTATTCAATTTCTCAAGCACTCTGGTGGTTTTTGCTAAGCCTGCCATCGTGATTGGTGTAGTCACTTGTAGATCTCCACTGCCAAGAAACTTAGCTTTGTAGTGTCGCCCAGCTCACAATCAATGGTCCCTGACCAAACCCATTTTGATACCACTTGTAGAACTGCCAGCAACATTCACTCACCAAAGAGATAATAATTTCTTGCCAAAAGGGAGAGATCATTTATTTTATTTATGATATTGCATCACATCACATTGAACTCTCTTTGAATTCATAATAAGATGTGGCAAAGTTTTACACTGGCTGCCTACCTAATTCAATGCACCGCCTTTGCCCGGGCTTGGGACAGGTGAAGGGAAAGTTTAAGGTCCTGACCCTTATTAGACCATCACATTGAACTCTCTCCTCCTTTCTTTTTTAGTTCGTCAGTAGGAGTCGAACTTGATATGTAGTGTTGCTAAGTCAGCTTCTAATCACTCAAGCTCAAGCCTGGTTCGTAAATTACATTAAACTCATGCTACACTATATTACACTACGCACTCTTACACTGCACAACACTCCCTTACACGACCTCATTTTCTTACGCTACACTGCACAATACACTGAGAGAGAGAGAGAGAGCATAGGGTTCACTAAGGAATCACCTTAACGAAATTCGTGTCTAAATAAAAATGGTATATGTATCCCACAGTCTGTATAAGGGTGTTCTTAATTGATTATGTCACTCTGTTATCAGAGTCCACATAAAGATAAAGTTGGTCAATAGAATTGACCTTGAGGAGAGAGAGAGAGAGAGAGAGAGAGAGAGAGAGAGAGGAGGAGAGAGAGAGACGACTATTAGTTTTAGTTTACTTAGTTTAGTTTAGTTCGTTCGTTTGTTAGTACGTACGTAGTTAGTTTCGTACGTAAGTAACGTAACCGAAAACCGAAGGAACGTACTACGAAGTACTACTTAAGTTTCGTA